TTCATCTTTTGTGTATGATAATGCTAGCAAACCGGTAGTTTGTATGGGAGACATGAATGACATCTTGTATGATATGGACAAAACTACTACCTTTGTTAATACTACTCAAATGTATGCTTTTCGAAATCTAGTCAAGTCTTGTGGTTTGATAGATCTTGGATATAGTGGTCCTTCTTACACCTAGACGAATAAACATTTTTCCACAAATCCTACTTATGAAAGGCTTGATAGATGTTTGGTTAACACTGAGTGGTGTGCTATCTATCTGAATACAAATGTCTATAATCTGCCTATTACGTACCTTAAGTGATCATGCTCGTATCCTTATCTCTACTGATGGCCAGTTTTGAAACCTTTGCAAAGCTTTAAATTTGAAAATTGGTGGCTTATGGAAAAGGACTTTGACTCGTATGCAAAGGCTATTTGGATTAGTACAGCTAATAAACCTTTCTATGCTAGAACTAATCATCTTGTAGGTTCTCTCAAAAGATGGTGCAAAAAGAAAAGGCCAATCAATCAGGAGCTCAACTACCTTGAGGAACAAATAAAAAATGTTCAGATGAAGCCAATACAGGAACATGACCACAAGTTGGAGGCCTATTTAATAAATAGGTATGAAGAGAACATGACCAAACTCACTGAATATTATAGTCAAAGGGCGAAAAAGCATTGGGCAACAAAATGGGACATGAATATTTCTTATTTTCATCAGGATGTACTCAAAAGAAGAAGGAAGAACCAAATTGTTTCCATCAAAGATAATAGCAATATAACTCATTTAAACCTGAAAATAGTGCTCATACTTTTGTTCAGTATTTCAAATAGATTTTTTGCTTCTAATGCAATTAATCAAGGCATGTCGCATGTAAGCACCCATATAAATACAAATCAGCACGATTATACAAATAGTATTCCAGATAAGCAGGAACTTTGGCAGATTCTTAGGGAAATGAAGAGGCTTCTCCAGGACCAGATGGGTTAAATGTGGCCTTTTTCTTAGCAGAAAGTTCTGTGAAACTGCTATCATGCCAAATCATGTCAATGACACTAACATAGCTCTCATTCCGAAGAAATTAGCTTGCATTACTCCTGCTGATTTTAGACCCATTAGCTTCTGTAATGTTGTTTATAAAATAATTGCAAAATCTTTAGCATAGAGGCTTAAACCACATCTCCATGATTACATTCATCCTTCACAACAAGCTTTCATTCAAGGGAGAAGGATCAGCAATAACATTATTATAGCTCAAGAAACTACCCACATGGAATTCTCCTTCCTTCATGATTAAAATTGATCTTGCAAAGGCTTTTGATTGTTTAGAATGGAATTTTATTATTTGTCTCTAGCTCGAAAAGGGTTGCATAGCCATTTCATTAATTTGATCTATGCATGTATCTCTACGGCCTCCTTCACTATTATCATTAATGGCCAATCATATGCAAAATTCAGGAATAGCAAAGGCATTAGGCAAGGTTGTCCTCCTTCCCCATACCTTTTTGTACTTGCCATACATGAGCTCTCACATGAATTTCTCTTGGTCCAAATTGCCCTCCTATCCACTCACTCATGTTTGCAGATGATCTCTTAGTTTGTGGGCAAGCTACTACTCAAGAGGCAACGACCATCAGTCAACTCATTCAAGTATTTTGCAACAAGTCATGTCAAATTCCATATTGGTATAAATCTGGTATTATCTTTAGTAAAGGTGTGGATAGCAACATTAAACAAGCCATCAAAAGTATCTTCCTAGTTCTAGATATAGATAACAACACTATCCACTTGGGACATCCCCTTATTCTCCAAGCCAAAGACAAACCTACAACCTATAATTTTGTCATTGACAAATTCAAAGTTAAGCTACCTGGTTACAAAGCCAAGAAGCTCTCTCATGCAACCAGACTCACCCTCATAATACCCGTCTTTGCTTCAATTCCTGTTTAATACTCCCTCTGTAAACAAATATAAGAGCGTTTAGATCACTAAAGTAGTAATCTAAATGCTCTTATATTAGTTTACGGAGGGAGTACATGTCTAATATTCTTTTCCCCAAGAAGTTCTTATCCAAACTCACTTCAATCATTAGAAACTTTTGGTGGACAGGGGTGAGAGAGGAATGCAATTCTAAATCTCTCTGTCTGTGAGCTTGGAAAGATGCATGTTCCCCAAAGAATGAAGGAGGTCTTGGGATCCGAAATGTGCAAGCCACTAATAAAGGTTTGATTCTTTCAGCAGCTTAGAGGATAGCTGAAGATCCAAATAACAATCTTTCGAAAATCCTCTGATACATCCTTCTGGAAGGCCAACCATAATGTTCCCAAGTCTGCTTTCTGGACTGGAATTCTGAAAGTTAGACCCATGCTAATTAGAAACTCCTTCTATCAACTCACAAAAGGAAACATTTCTCTTTGGAGCAATCCTTAGTATAATACTTGGGATACAATCTATGACCATCTGATAAACCAGCCTAGAGAATATGAATATCCAGCTCTTGTTGAAGATCTTTTGCTCCCAAATCAGAAAAAATGGAACAATAATCTCATTGATAGTCTCTTTCATCCGGATACATCTACTATCATCAAACAAGTTCCAATAATTCAGGATGGTGGGAAAGATCTTCTTTGTTGGAAGCTCACCCTTCAGGGAAATTTACAACTAAAAGTGCATACAAGCTCTGTTTGCAGGTTTTGCAGGAAGAAGGAGAACCACAACCCACAATCATTACAGCCAACTGAAGAGAGCTATTGAAACAAATTTGGAAAACAAAAGATATAGCTCCAAGGATACAAACATTTGCATGGAGACTTATCAGAAAAGCCCTTCCAACAAGTATAAGAGCAGGTAAATACACAGCCCAAATAAGTAAATTTTGCTCCAGGTGTGGAGTGGAAGAAGATGAAAAGCACATTCTTTTTCTTTGCCCATTTGCTAAGGCTGCCTGGTTTGTCCATCCCTGGTACATTAGAATAGAAGATCTTGTATGGGATAACAATTCAATAACAAGTACTTCCTCCGTTCGAAAATACTTGTCATCAAAATGGATAAAACGGGATGTATCTAGAACTAAAAAAGGTCTAGATACATCTCCTTTTATTCATTTTGATGACAAATATTTTAGGCATTCTTAACTCAACTCATCCACATGCCACTTTGAGCAATATATTTACCTTCATGTGGTGTATGTGGAAAGGAACGACAAATTGTTTCAAAGAAAAGAGAGCTCTCCTCTACAAATTTTTTATGCAGCTCAGACCATAGCTAATTGCATATACCAGGAAATGGGGGTATAGGAGCAATCACAGAAGAAGGAGAACCAGGAATTGCAAATAGCAGGTATATATGCACAAGGGACAATAGTAGATTTATTAAAGCTAAAAAAAACAAATAGGATTTCACAGATGCGGCATGGAAGAATCAGGTTCAACATGCCAGCAACACAAGAGCTGGACTGGGAGTTTATATGCACATACATCAAGGAAGCAGAAGACTGAAGGTCCAAATCTATGCTATAGGAAATCATGCAGAATCAGCCATACAAGCAGAAGCACAAGCTCTAGTAATTGCAACCAACATTCTTGCCAGGTTGCAAATAAAAGATGCGATCTTCCTCACAGACAATTTATCGCTAGCGAAAGCAGCTGCTGCAAGATCGCCTAGAACAGATCCAGGACATTGGGAGGCTAGAGGCTTACTTGCAGAATTTTGTGCAGTAACAAATGCATCTTCAGTTCAGTTTTTTCACATCTCAAGACTTCATAACATGGAGGCACATGATTTAGCCCAGCTAGCACTCACCCACATAACAGATCAGCAAGTTCATTTCTCTTGTAGTAATGCAGATCATCTTGAGGACAGTTGCCCTTTAAAACTGTTGTGTTTAGGCATACAATTACAGGGAATTGTATTTCTCAATGTAAACTGTTTGCAGTATGAATGAATGGATTGGCGCCATAGGCGCCTTTGCATGTTAAAAAAGAGACATTTACCATTCTCCTCTGGGCTGTGGCCACGTGACCTCGCTATACAGAGAGTGGAGACTGGAGCTGCTGCCACATATCATCACTTTCATCACAAACTGTTCGCCCAAATCTAATGCTCTGCCCTAAACCTACATCGAAAACTGTTAAAACCTAAATGTCACTACTGAGAGTCAGGTCGTTATAAAGACCATGAAAGTTTCTACAAACACGACCAACAAACCTTCCGAGAATATTCTTCAAAAAAAAAAAACCTTCCAAGAATTGGTCCTTTGGCATTTTTCAATCTTCTTCCTACAACACTTGTAAGTTAAACCTGTAGCTTTTAAAATGCTATATGCATAAAATGTGATGGATCAGGCCTAACTTTAACATTAGCTGTCGTTTGTTTCCTGCGGTATTTATCTAATATCCATATTTAGCGCAAACCATCTTCATTTCTACATTTTCCAAATCCAATTTTGCTTAGCAAGCATACATTCTACGACCATCTATAACCCTAGGACACCCTGCCTATATATATAGGCTGGCACACAGACGGCCAATTACGTATGAGATGGTTTTTGACATCTTGTGCAGTAGCCTTTCTCTAAAATAAACATATTTTGTTCAAGGTGCCTTAGGAATTTCAACAGAGAGAGATCATACAATTGTTTTCTATTCTCTCCTACACAAAACTTCATCCATAAACCCACCTCAGCGCAAGTATATGCTTCATAGTCAAACTAAGCTTCTCCAAAACAAGCAATTTCACTTTCATGAAAGTAAACTGAAGACCGGATTAATGTTCAAAACAGATACAAACAGTTTGAAGTTTATGAAAGTAATCTTTAGAACAGATAAATGCTCAAAACAGCAACAAGAAACAATCCAACGAACTGAACTTGTAAACATCTGAAATTGTTTGCCACTTGATGCCTATATACAGACACACATGGTCCTCTAGGATCATCACGATAAACGGCAAATTGAGGAATTGAGAACCTGGGACGACGCCATGGCCTATCCACAGCCCACCAATGCAGCTAGGTTACGCAAGCTTCGATCGTGGGTGGCCATGGCAGCTGGTACGCGTACTCCGCGGCGTGCTGCTTGTCCCGGAGCACGGCGTACTGTGCGTCGTCCGGCACCACACCAGATAAGAGCTCGGCGGTGTCCTTGTCCAGAGCAAGAACAACGTTGTCTCCGACCGTCCAAGAGGCGAACCTCTTCCCCTTGCTGCTTCCTGCGAAATAGATGGGGGCCAACTCCCTGTCGCGGCAGACTGATGTGCTGCTACGTGCGGCCCCGGAGGTCCAGCCGCCGGCGGCAGACGAGAAGGCGCAGGCCCTGGCGTTGCGGTCCCCAAAGCGAAAGAGCGCGCACGTCACCCTGAAGTTTGACATGCTGATGCCCGCGGCCGCGTCCTTGTCCTCGCCGTCGAGGAGGAAAGCGCCCAGCATGTGGCAGCCGTGGAACCACGCCGAGCGAGGGATTTCCCTGTAGCATCGCCTCAGGGGATCGCAGATGAGGAGGCCTGGCGCCAGCTCCGAGTGGAAGAGGAGCAGAAGGCCGCCCCGGATGTCGGCGAGCTCCCAGCCGCAATCGCCAAACTCGCCCCGCGGGAGGAAGTCGAGTGCGAGGTTCCGAGCGGCGACGGCGTCCGCCCACGGCGAGGAAGAGGAGGAGGACGGGACGAATACGGGGTTAAGGCCAGGCGGACGCGGGTGGCCGTGGCGCTCGTTGACGCGGTAGTGGCCGACAACGTGGTCGGCCGACGCGCCGTGGAGAGAGCCGAACCGGCGGAGGAAGCCGCCGCCGTCGCCCGCGATTACGTTGCGCCATCGCCTGCAGGTGCACGCGGCACGGATGAGGTGGGCAGGCGAGGAGAGGCGCAGGAACACCACCTCGAGAAGCTCGCCCGGAACGTCGTCAATATCTCCCTCCCGCGCGGGTACCCGCCGGGAATTCTTGCGGCGGCGGCGGCGGCGGCGGCCGTCCCCCATGGCCGCCCGGATCTGTGGGATCTGGGTTTCGCCCACGAGGACGGATCACTCCGAACACGTTTTTCTTAACGGGCAAGGGTCTCGAAGGACCCAAAAAGAAAGAAATTACAAACCAGTCATTACATCTTCCAAAGAGGACCCGGAACAAATGAGAGTAAAATGCATGCGCGGTCCTAATTATTTTACAAAAATGTCAAGTGAGTTTCAAATCTTTAGGATATGCATATCACAGTCTTAAATTTTTGTAAATGGTTCATTGGAGGTCCTATGGACCTCTGACCTGTGTTGACCGGCTAGCATGATGATTTGACCACCGCCATGTAGGCATTATTTTGCACAGATCACCTCTGCAAAGATGTATCTTCTAATTTCATGGACCTCCTCCTCCGTGCATATATCGGCCAGACCAAGCAGCATGGTGTCATTGCGGACGTCGGAGTGGGTTCTCGGCCGGTGTGCCTGTTTAATGACGGCAGGAGGATGAACGGGCAACCTATTTGATTGCGGTATATATCCGCCCCATCCAGTCACGTCGCTCCGATATTGAACAGATGCGAAGACCGGGACACGACGTGGCGGCCCTCTCGGCCCGTGTGTGATACGTCTCTAATGTATCTATATTTTTTATTGTTCATGCTATTATATTATTATTGCCACATACTTTTCTTATCATTCTACATTATTTTATATTATTATTCTGGACTAACATATTAATTTAGTGTGAGTGTCAGTTTATGTTTTCTGATTGTTTTTTGGTTTTACAGAAAATCAATACCTACGGAGGTCCAAACACAATGACAATTTTTTCTAGACCAAAAGAAACACATGAAGCTTCAGGAGTCGTCGAGGGGATGCTCGAGGGCAACACAAGGGCAGGTGGCGCGACCGGGGGTGGCCGCACCACCCAGGCTTGTGGACCCCGTGAGCCTCCATTTGATCCAATTCCTGACCTACAAATTCACATAAATTCCAAACCCTCGAAGCGGGACCCGAAACAATTTTATTACCGATGCAAGCCTCTGTTCCGAAGCGATCCCATATGGAGGCTTGTTCTGGAGTTCTGCCGTAGAGGAAAACCATTGGGGTGGCCATCTTCATCTATCAACCTTGCTAACTCCATGATGGTGTGTGAGTAGTTCCTTCAGGACCTATGGGTCCATAGTAGTAGCTAGATCTCTCTCTCTCTCTCTCTCTCTCTCTCTCTCTCGGATCTTCAATATCATGTCCTCTTCTGAGATCATTCCGATGTAATTCTTGTGGTGTGATTGTTGGGACCCGATGAATTATAGATTTATAATCAGATTGTTCATTGATTTATATTGAATCTCTTGAAGTTTTTTGTTGCATAATTAAATATCTATGTATGCTTTCCGATCTATCTGTCTTCTCTGGCCAAGATAGATTGGTAGTTGTCGGCGTTCTGGGAACGGGGGTACCCAGACTTGCCTCCCTGCGGCCTGCGGCGTGGCTCAAGGAGTGGCCCAGTACGACCCATCTTCATCAACACATGCTCAAGACCCTCGCGAGGGGCCAAGCCTCGCGGGGAAGGACGACAGGAGGCTTCCTCAGGCACGGCCTCGTCAGTCTGGCTCGCGAGAAGGCGGAGAGATCAAGCCGGGGTACCTCACGAGGTGCCCATGACGCAAGCCATGCCGACCAAGGCCAGGCGGGCGCCAGGCGGGCGCCGGCCTGCGCAGAGTCCTTGTTTCCCCTTTGGTGCAAAGGGGGCAAGCGCAGGCAAGGGTATCAAGCAAAGGCAACCATTTCGGTGCAACAAGACCAAGACCAGCGGGACGGAAGAACGGAGGTCATCGTGGAGCCCAAGCCAGCGTCATCGTCAGGGTCTTTGGCAGGCGATGACCAACTTTAGTCAGGATAAGTGTACTAGATGTTCCCCTTCGAAATGGCCAATTGTTGGCGCCCTTCCCGCTCAATATTTGGGAAGAGGCCTAGGGCCTCCGCCTATAAATAGGACTAGCCACCCCCAGGGTAGGGCATCGACATCTGATCTAGAGACCAACCAGAGAGAAGAACCTTGGGCAACACCACCATAGGAACAGACCCTCGAGGGGCTGTTCTTCCTTTGTACTGTTCATCATCAGCCCCAGAGGCAATCCACACACCACACATTGGAGTAGGGTATTACACCATAATGGTGGCCTGAACCAGTATAAATCTCGTGTCCTTCGTGTTGTTCTTCGTGTAGTTTAGATCCTAGCGAGGCGGTGAGACATGAGTAGGTTGGGGGTGTGATCTCCGCGTGCACCCCAGTGTTCGAACCTCAAGGGTCTGTCGAAACCCGAAATCCGACATTTGGCGCACCAGGTAGGGGTGCACCGGAATCCGCCTTCCGTCGCCTCGTGTTTCGCCGCCCGTCGCACCATCATCAACATGTATGGCGACCAAACGGGCAACCCCGATCCCTGGGCGGCATGGCCCACCTGCTCAGAGCCGCCTGCCCAGGGCGACCTCAACCCTGCGCCCCAGGAAGCCCGCGGTTCGCAGAGCGCTGCGGGCCGCGGGCGACGCGGTCAAGCGACACCAGCTCTCACGCCGCGGTAGGTGCGGTCGGTAGCCAGGGCCTCGAGCCACGCCGCGGCCGCGGCGCCGTACTCGCGGCGAGAGCAGGCGAACTCAAGGGCTGCGCTCACAGTAGCGCGAGAGCTGCTGCAATGCAGGCTGCAAGAGGGCGGCCGCGACGTGCTACTAGAGCAAGTGGCGGAGCTTCTGGGCTCCGCCCTTGGGGGCTCACCCCTTCTGCACCCAGCTGCCCCCTCAGGCCCAAGGCGGATCGCACGGAGGCCCCACGCGTGCCCGCACAGCCCCGAGCGGGTTCCAGGGCCACTCCAACACCACCCTGGCCGTCAGCGCCTGGTCACCAATGGTGCTGCCTCCGCCCCCGGCCAGCGAAGGAGGACTCGCCACCGCCCATGGTCCCAGCGGGCCATCGCGCCACCACCCCCAGGTGGGCGCCTCAAGCAGGGCTGCGTGGCACACGGGGCACTACATCGAAGCGTTCGGGGTGGCGGCCCCGGAGGAGTACGTGCCCCACATGATGGACCAAGGGCACGCACAGGAGGAAGATCACAGCTTGTTCCTCGGCCCAAGCTGGGGGGAAGAGACACCCGAAGCTGAGCTCTTTCAGGAGCCCCGGGAAAGCCCCGTCGACCGCGCTGGAGGCAGCGATTATCGGGTACCGCTAATTCCTCAGGAGCAAGCATACGCTAACCGTGGGTCGCAGGAGGTACAGGTCATCGCGGCGGATGGCTACCCCAATCCAGCAGTTTCCTACCCCTCAGAAGGAGGGCGCCGGGGGCTGCAGGAGAGGGGCTGGGATCCGGCATCACCACCGCGGCATTCGAAGCAAGGCGTCCTCAGGAGGTAGGCCCTCTGCCGGGGAGGTGCCTCCGGGCCTACCCCCGGCAGAGGACCCGTGGTCATCGGGGGAACCACTGGCGACCGCTCTACCCCATTGGCGGCGTCCTCGGTCTCCGGCCGTCGTCGATGGCACTAGAGTGTGGCGCAAGGCGGGGCCCTCGTCTGGCGATATGAAGCAAGGCCGGTACATGTGAAGAAGGCCCAGTGCCTGTGAAGCTCGCCGCCCCGTGACACTCTCACGTAATAATGAGTGGGGCTGTACATGCCCCGGAGTCTCCGGAGAGCCGCCCTCGGGCCTCGGGGGCTCCTGCCCACGCCCAGTGGCAGCACTTAGCTCCGCGCTGGTGAGAAGACGTCGAAGACTAGACTAGGTGCCAGACGCGGCTTTTTCTGCTTTCCTTGCTTTTCCCCTTGGTTGTTGCTTTTCCCTGTTCGGATTTAAGTTGGATTTGAGCTTGAGACTTGCGTGTGTTCGGGGAAGGGGTGTTTAGTCTCGTTCGAACAATCTCTCGCATTCTGGTCACCGCTTTGCGTCCATCCGGCCTCAACTGCCTCCCCTCGTGAGCCCCTCGCGAGCCGGGTTAGGCCCAGCATGCGCGCAGCCCAGGCTGCCGTCGCCGTGCCCTCTCAGGAGGTTCTCCTTGCAGGTTGAACAGGCTCGTTCAGGAGACATTCATGACACCACGGCCCCCCAAAGGCTAGGGGCCCGTACGGGTCAAAGGTAACAGGCCAGTCGACTCGCCACGAGACCGGTCGACTGGCGCAGGCACGCGGGTGATATCATGTCTACAAATACGCTAACTGCAAGTTTTTTTACATGAGGGGCTCCCCCTCCCAAAATGCTCTTACAATCCTCTGGGCCAAGCCCGAACTCTATCTGCGCAGGATAAAAGCAGGAACAGCACGCGGTCAATCGGATAAATCCCCCAATGCATCCTCAGGGACACCTCCGGAGTCGCCACTGGCATCACTGGCCTCGCCATCACCTTCCGCGCCGCCGCCGACAGCACCTGGGCCGTTCACCACTCCGCCCTCATCAACGGCCATGACCACGCCGTCATCATCAGAGGTGAAAGCCCTGACAAGGGCGTCCACGTTGTCTTCCACCCAACGCGCCAGATCGTCCCGGATCGCCAGGGGTACTAGTGCGATGGCGGCGTCAAAGTCGAATGGTGATCCATGTTCTGGAGATGACTGAAGACGCGAGAAAAAGCACGCCCCTTTAGGGCACGAATCCTCTCCTCCACCAACCTGTCAGCTCTGCCCGCCCGAGCCTCCAACTGCGTCACCACGTCGGTGAAGAACTGAAGGTTACCAGCATAGTTGACCACACGAGGTTCCCCAACGGCTGCCTCGCAGATGATACCCAAGGCCGTGTTGGCTCTTTCCCGGAGCTCACGGAGCATGGGTCTATGCACGTGCTCCAAGGTCTACCGCTGGCATATCTCATCCTCGTTCCGCCGCGCAACGGCCTCGGCCACGTCCACCCTTTGGTGGAGAAGAAGCACCTCGGCGCGGGAGGAAGCCAGTTCCGCCTGTGTCGCGCCAAGAGCGGCTCGGGCAGCGTCCCCGCGCCGCGTCACTTCATGTAGCTTGGCCTTCAGGGCGGCGGTCCTCCCTTC